GTGTGAAGCTTAATTACCAAGGCTCTGAGGGATACTGGTTGGTGAGGATTAATATTCACAAAAGCTCCATAAGTTGTTTTGTCATTATCTTCGTTCAGTGAAGATCTGTCCCAAATTCCACATCACCAAAAAGTCTCAAAAAATTAGAAAGTCAAGTTTCGGATATTTTCAAAGAAAAACAAATTTTAGATATATATATTTGTGACAGGAAAATTATATAAAGTAATGTAATTAATATCGATTTTATAATCAAAGAAACGTACCTGCTTTGGTCACTGCACATGACCACAACGTACTTTTTACTATATTGACGAGCTTTGAAGATTCTAAAATAAACCGATGTGTACTCTTCCAAGTTCTTAGATGCGAGAACCATTAGACCGAATGGACCTAAACCGGACTTAACCGACACATTCATTTGACTACAAATCAACTGTGGATCAGTCCAACTCGGGTTTATCACATCTGCTTTCTCCAAGTCTCTCACTTTGAACAAAACATCTACATCCGCCTGTACAATCACAAGAATTTTAAAAACCTAGTTTTATAATACTTATCTATTTTAAAATAATATTAAATAATAATCAAACCTGTGCAGCTGTAACACCATAGACTTCGAGCTTAGATTTTGACTTTAGAACTTTGTTGCGTAAGTTGACTTGCTTCGTACGTAACCTCTCTACTTCTCTAACCGGCCACTGAATCAATTGCCTCCCTAACCGATCAAGCCAGATTTGCCTCGGAATAGTCTAATCAAGAAAAGAAAAAACACAAACAGAAATTTAATTCAATCTCTAAAAAATTATGCTTACTCTAATCTTACTATCAATCTAAATAATTACCTGAATACCGGACCAGCCTTTCTCAACATCATCTTGAACCGACGACGACTCATTAGTCCAACCCCATAAAACTCTCCGATTCTTAGCCGAGTCGTAAAACGTTTTCGACGCGTAATATTTACCATAATCGTATCTCGGAGCCGTACCGTCCATCTTAAACCCATTATCCGGTACGAATTTATCTCCAGCCCTATCGTACGTACCGATAGTGTAATAGTCATGTTTCGTGTCATCCAAGCTTACTTTCAACACGTGTTTTAAAACCTCATTAGGTCCACCAAACGACGACGTTTCAACGCCTTTAGAACCTAACCTAGTCACGGGGAAAAAATCAGGACATTCCCACATGCCACTTCCGTCGTCGTAATGCAACGGTTCGGGAGATTTTTCCCATTTTAGAAAGTCTTTGCTCGTGTAAGTAATCGCTAGTCCACGACGGTGGATCTTGCTTCCGATGATCACTCTCCACTTCTTGTCGTGTCCGAGCCACGCGGTGGTTGGGTCACGGAACGAGCTTGCGTTGATCCCGTTGACGGCGTCAGGAGCCATCAGAGGATTTAACGGCGACTTTTTCCATTCTACGAGATATGGATCGTTGAGATCTTTAGGCTCGGCTATGTTTTGGACCTGTTGGTTCTTGGGGTCGATTCCGGTATAGAGGATAACCGGTTTGCCGTCGGGGAGAATCGTGACCGAACCGGACCAGCATCCGTTGATATCGAACGGTTCAGATGGGAAGATAGCTGGAGGATGTGGGACCCAGTTGATTAGATCTGTTGACGTGGAATGGGCCCACACGATGTTACCCCACACGGCTCCTTTAGGGTTCCATTGGTAGAAA